CAGTGGAGGTCCCCGTGGCGCCACGAAACGCGTGAGGCGTGCGTCGGTGTAGGTGGGGGGGGGGGCGCATGCGGTACACCCCCTGTTGCCCTCGGAGGAGGAACTATGGGGCCACGCAACGTGTGAGGAGTGTGCCGAAATGGGTGGGGCGGCCGCATGTGGTACACCCCCTCTGGGGCCTTCGGTGGAGATCCCTAGAAAGGGGCACGAAAGGTGAGGAGTGCGCCGAACTAGTTGACGTGGAGGGCAGAGTAACGGATGGGAGGAGGGGGTAGGAAGAGAAGAAGAGTGACGCGGGGCGCTGTCTCTTCAAAACGAAGACCCAATATAATACAATACTCGGTTTCATCATTTGTATACAAGCAACATACAAGAAAAACGTATGGATGTCTATAGATTGCCAGCCGGCTCGCTTCGCTGATTTGCATGAGTACCACCCACACGAAAAAAAAGGCCAATGAACCCTCACTCGATAATCCGACATAAGAAATCCTTCGGGGAAAACCCGTAATAAAGAACCCATGGCACATATTAGTTTAACAAGAAACTCCTGTCTGGAATCCTTGGTAAGGAATCCTTAGTGCAGGTTTTTCGTAAGAAGTCTTTGGAATGACATATGAGCAAGGAATCCTGATCGGGGAACCCTCAGCCAGGAATCCGTTTGGAGAAAGGAAACCCGAAGCAAAGAACTCTTCGCAATAAATCATTAGTGGGGAATCGTGAGTCAAGCATCATTACTGGCAAATATTGCAGAAATCGTCCGTGGTAAGGAGTCCGCGGTAAGGAGCCATTAGTGAAATTGATCATTGGGAACAAACTATTGCATTACAATCCGTACTCAGAAAACTGCTCGCTAATAAACAGTAATGGAAAATCCCGACTAAGGAAGCCAGATCAAATAACCCTATATCAAAGAATCCGAAAACATATCAGCCAGCCTTGACTCCAAAGAGATTAGACGACTCAAATCAAGGAATCAGAGGAATCAAGCATGCTTGGAATCCGCAACTCTGCAAGCAAGCAAGCGTGCAAGCAAGCGCGCAAGCAAGCAAGCAAGCGTGCAAGCAAGCGTGCAAGCAAGCGTGCAAGCAAGCAAGCAAGCGTGCAAGCGCGCAAGCAAGCAAGCAAGCAAGCAAGCGTGCAAGCGTGCAAGCTCGCAAGCAGGCAAGCAAGCAAGCAAGCAGGCATAGGCATAGGCGCAGGCATCGGAGTTAGGGGGAGGCATAGGCATAGGCATAGGCATAGGCATAGGCATAGGCATAGGCATAGCCATCGGAATTAGGGGGGGGCATAGGAGTTGGGGGGGGGGGCAACGGACCAATCAGGGTTTGAGCTACGACTCCTACAGGGCAAGCCTATGTGGAGAAAATTACGTCTACTAAACAATATCACATGTGAGGTCCGTGTTGCTCGTGACCACCATCAACAACATCGTCATGAATCACCGTTGTCGTCACCACCACCATCATCGACATCGTCATGAATCACCGTTGTCGTCACCATCTCATCACCATCACCATCGCAATCACAATGACCACCACCATCACCGTCCAGATCACCATCATCAGCATCGCCAGAACCATAATCACCCGCACGATCCTGAATAAATTGCAATGGGATATGAACCGATATTTCGACTCCTGAGCAAATTGCTCGGAAGTCTCGAGCGAGAGCGCGACTCCCAGGAAACCCGTCGTGGATCCTCAGGAACCCTTCGAACTCATTGGAAGAGCCCGACAGATCCCCGCAAAATCCGTCGTGGTATTCTTCCGAAATTGAACATCCTCAAGTTCGGGATCCTGGGAAACCTTTGGGGCCTTTTGGACTCCTCAATAACCCAAAATGAATCCTTACGAATACTTCGGAACCGTCAGGAACCCCTGGGCATCTTCAGGGGTCCTACGGATCTGGAAAGATCCAGCATCTTTGAAAATCGTTGAACCCCAAAGAGTCCTCAATAATCCTTGGGAATCCTCGGGGATCTTGAGAAATCCCCCAGCGAGGGCACGCTGCCTAAATTCATTGCGGCAAACTATAAAGCGACAGCGCGATTCCTGCGTAAAGTGCGAGACACGATTGAGCGAGAGAGTGACGCCGTAGTGAGATGGAAGGAAGCCCGAAGCGATAGCGCGATTCCTCCCTATAAAACTAAACTGGTAGAACGCGATTCCTAACACATCGGAAGGAAGTCTCAGGCGAGATCGCGATGCCGAAGTAAATCGCCAGGAAATCTCGGGCGAGAGCACGCTTCCTGTGCAAATCGCGAGGAAGCCTCGATCGAGAGAACGATGATTTCGCAAAATACACAGAAACTGCATGGGAGAGCGCAATTCCCAAATAAATTCCTAAAACAACGATCCCGACATAAATTCCAAGGAGGCCTCAAGCGAAAGCGCGAGTCCTAAGTAAATCGCGAGGCGGTCACAACGGGGAGCGCAATTTCTGAGTAAACCGCGAGGAAGTTTAAAGAGAGACCGCGATGTGTAACTAATCGCGAGACAATCGAGAGCGCGACTCCTTAGCAAAATGAAAATAAGACTCGAGCGATAGCACGAATCTTCCAGAACAATTGCCAAAGCGCGGTCCCGAGTACATCGCGAAGACGCCTCAAGCGAGATCGCGATTCCTGAACAAATCGCAAGAAAACCTCGAGCGAGAGCACGCTTCCTGTGCAAATCGCGGGGAAGTCCCAGTCAAGAACAACGATTCATGCGCAAAATGCTCAAAAAAAATCACACTGGATAATGGAATTCGCGAATGAACTCCTAAAAAGCGACTCCGACATGAATCCCAAGGAGGCCTCAAGCGAGAGCACGAGTCCTGAGAAAAACCGCGAGGCAGTCACAACAGAGAGCGCGACTTATGGGCACATCGCGACGAAATCTAAAGCGAGACCGCGATGCAGAACTACTCGCGATAGAAAATATCCGGCGAGAGCGCGACCCCTGAGAAAAATGGAAGGATGTCTCGAGCGAGAGCGGGATTCTTCCACAAGATTGCCAAACGCGGTCCCTAGTAAATCACAAGGGCGTCTCAAGCGAGAGCGCGATTCCTGAGTAAATCGCGAGGAAATCTCGAGCGAGAGCACGGTTCACTGAGCAAACCGAGAGTAAGTCCCAGTCGAGAGAACGGTTCCTGCGCAAAATGAACAGAAACATCGAGCGAGAGCGCCGGTCCAAAGTAAATTGCTGGAGCGCGGTTCCTACATGAATCGCCATCAAATCTCCAGCGAGAGCGCGGTCCCCAATGAACTCGCCAGGGCGCCACGAGCGAGAGCGCAAGCCCTGAGTCAATCGCGAGGAGTGCTAGAACGATTGGTGTTGGAGGGGGGGCTCGGCCCCGGCTGCGTGGTCCCTCCCAACAACATCAGCAACAACTGCGAGACTGTTCGCTCTTGTCTGCTCGCGTGTCACTCAGCACGTATACCCCAAAGTCCCCTCCCTCGCCCCTCCCTTCCCCTGTTTTGGGGCCCAAACCCTCGATACCCACCCTCTTCGTCTTCGATCGCATCCCCCTTGGAGGCATCTCCTCCTTGCCTGCCGCGTGCAGCTGCCGCGGCCCCCAGAACAGGGGGAGGGAGGGGCGAGGGAGGGGACGAGGGGGAGGGAGAAGGATGGAGCACGCGAGAGAGATTGGCAGGAGGGGGCTCACGAGCAGGACAGCAGGCGGCCGAACCAGACGGGCGGGTCGGGCGGGCAGACCCCAGCGGGCGGGTCGGGCGTGCGGGCCCAGGCGGCCGGGTCGAGCGGGCGGGCCGCGGAGGCGTCAGCCCGCACGAGGTGCGCAGAAGGCTCGAGCGACAGCTCGACTCCGGAGTAGATCGTAGGGAAGTCCAGGGCAAGAGCGTGAGTCCTGCGCGGCGTCTCGATGAACTGCGAGGAAGAAGTCCCACGCGAGAGCGCGACTGCTGGGACCGCGGGGGATCGCGACTTTGAATCAAAATTGTGCGGAGGTATCAGGCGGGAGCCGTTGTTGTTGTCGTTCGGGGGCCAGGGGGGCAAGCTGACCCGCAAGACTTTCTCTTGTAAAAGCCTAGGTGCGAGCCCCACGAGGGGCTTTTCAACTGAAAAACACATGTGGGCATCACAGGGAAAGGGGGGGGGAGGAAAGAGTACTGACTCGAAGTGAGGGCTCTGCACAAGCCGAGACGTGGAAGGGCATGGAAGCGGAAGCCAAAAACAGTAATACGTACCATGACACTCGGGAGCGGCCAAGAGGGGGGTGTCCAAGAGGGGGGGGGGTGCAAATCATGACCGGCGGCATGTGCGCGGCCCAGCGGGGGGGCCAGGGACGTGATGAAATGAGAAGAGGCGCCATGAAATCTGGAGAAATATCGTGGCCCCCGCCATGATATCCACCCCCCCCCCTAGTCAGCACCCCCCTCTTCTCCGCCCCCGAGGCACCTAGCAGCAGGCAGGGCGGAGGCGCAGCCAGGGATCCATCAGAGAAGCGCCGGGGCGGGGACGCGGGGCCCTCGGACGTCGACGCCACACAGAGAGAGGGCCAGCGGAGCGGTGGATCGGCCGGCCGAGTCCGAGAGAGAGCAAGGACGCGGAGCATCTCCGTGGCGAAGACCTCACGCCTGGTGGGGGGCCGACTGCAGGAAGCCGGGGGGCGAGGGAGAGGGATGAAATGAGAAGAGGCGCCATGAAATCTGGAGAAATATCGTGGCCCCCGCCATGATATCCACCCCCCCCCCTAGTCAGCACCCCCCTCTTCTCCGCCCCCGAGGCACCTAGCAGCAGGCAGGGCGGAGGCGCAGCCAGGGATCCATCAGAGAAGCGCCGGGGCGGGGACGCGGGGCCCTCGGACGTCGACGCCACACAGAGAGAGGGCCAGCGGAGCGGTGGATCGGCCGGCCGAGTCCGAGAGAGAGCAAGGACGCGGAGCATCTCCGTGGCGAAGACCTCACGCCTGGTGGGGGGCCGACTGCAGGAAGCCGGGGGGCGAGGGAGAGGGACGGAGGGGGAAGGCGACGACGAGGGAACCCCGCGCGCCCACCTGCAGCATGAAGACCTTGCTCTCGCGGAGGTGCTGCGGAGCCTCTGGCCAGAGCAGCGCACGCGCCAGGGGGGAAGCTGGCGCACCCCCCCCCCTCGTCCCCGACCTTCCCCTCCTCCTGATACGTTGTCCTGCTCCTCCTCCTCCTTCTCCTCCTCCTCCTCCTCCTCCTCCTGCTTCTCCTCCTCCTCCTCCTCCTGCCCCTCCTCCTCCTTCTCCTCCTCCACCTCCTCCTCCTCTTGCTCCTCCTCCTCCTCCTCCCGCCTCCCCTCTCCTGTCTCCCCCTGTTCGATACGCCTCCTGCTCTTCCCCTTCCTCCTCCTCGTTGTCGTCGTCGTCATCGCCATCGTTATCGTCATCGTGATCGCTATCATCCGCATCACAAGCAGCATAGTCATCGTAATCACCAACATCAATATCATCATCATCATCATCATCATCATCATCATCATCATCATCATCATCATCATCATCATCATCATCATCACCATCACCGTCATCATCATCGTCATCGTCATCGTCATCATCATCAGCAGCATCATCAGCATCATCAGCAGCATCACCACCATCAGCATCAGCAGCATCATCATCGTCATCATCATCAACAACATCATCACCATATCATCATCACCACCACCATCCCCATCATCAGCAGCAACAACCTCAGCTTCAACACTATCGTGATCATCATCAGCAGCATCATCATCACCGTCATCATCATCATCATCATCAGCATCAGCACCAGTATCAGCATCGTCTTATCATCATCATCATTATCAGAAGCAGCATCAGCATCATCATCATCATCATCAGCAAAACTGGATACACGGGATGCCTTACGTAACGGCTTCCCGTGCCCCCTCGAACAGTCGCCACCTAGAATCCCTAAGATGGATAAGCAGCTGGATAAGCTGGGTGAGCAGCATTCGCATCGTAATCGCCATCATGATCATCACGATCCTTATCACCATTGTCGCCATCATCATCATCACCATCATCAACATCATCATCAGCATCATCAGTATCATCATCATAATCATCATCATCATCATCATCATCATCATCATCATCATCATCAGCATTATAATCATCATCATCATCAGCATCCGCATCATCATCATCATCATCATCGGCATCATCATCATCAGCAGCAGCAGCATCATCATCAGCAGCATCAGCATCATCATCATCAGCATCATCCTCATCATCAGCATCATCATCAGCATCATCATCCGTATCAGCCACGCATCAGCATCATCATATCATCATCATAACTATCATCAGCAACATCATAGATATCATCCTCAATATCATCATCACTATCATCATTGCAACCAGCATCCACATCATCGTCGTCATCGTCATCGTCAACATCATCATCATCATGATCATCACTAACATAATTATAATCGTCGTATCCTTCATTCTGTCTGATAACCATCACCATCATCTTTATCATATTCATCGTCATCATCATCATCAGGAGCAGCAGCATGATCATCATCATCGTCAGTATCATCAGCATCATCATCGCCACCATCATCATAATAACAACAATCGCCATGATCATCGTGGGCATCAACATCATCATCATCAGCAGCATCAGCAGCATCAGTATCATTATCACCAGCAACAACAACATCAGCTTCATAACCATCGTCACCACCACCATCATGATCATCATCATCCTCACCACCATCCTCATCATCAACACCATCATCATCAGCATCATCATCATCATCATCAGACGCAGCAGCACAAGCATCAACACCATCATATCATCATCAGCATCATCATATCATCATCATCATCATCATCATCATCATCATCATCATCATCATCATCATCATCATCATCATTATCATCATCATCAGCATCAGCATCAGCATCAGCATCAGCATCATCATCATCATCAGCAAGCCTGGAGACACCGGATGTCACACGTAACGGCTTCCCGTGCCGCCTCGAACAGTCGCCACCTAGAACCCCTAGAATGGATAAGCAGCTGGATAAGCTGGGTAAGCAGCATTCGCATCGGAATCGCCGTCATGATCCTCGTGATCCTCGTGATCATCATCATCATCATCATCATCATCATCATCATCATCATCATCATCATCATCATCCTCATCCTCATCCTCATCATCATCATCATCATCATCATCATCATCATCAGTATCATCATCAGCATCATCATCATCATCATCATTGGCACCATCATCATCATCAGCAGCATCAGAATCATCATCATCCTCGACATCATCATCATCATCATCACCACCATCATCATCATCAGCATCATCATCAGCATCAGCAGCATCAGCCAAGCATCAGCATCAGCATCATCATATCACCATTCTCATCATACTTATCATCAGCAGCATCATAGATACCAACCTCAAAATCATCATCATCATCATCAGCATCATCATCATCGCAACCAGCATCCGCATCATCGTCGTCATCTTCATCGTCGGCATCATCATCAGAGTCATCGGCCTAGTCTTCTTCCCCGTCATAATCATCACCAGCACCTTTATCATATTCATCGTCATCATCATCATCAGGAGCAGCAGCATGATCATCATGATCATCATCATCATCATCATCATCATCATCAGCATCATTATCATCGCCACCATCATCATAGTAACACCAATCGTCATCGTCATCGTGGGCATCGTCATCATCATCATCATCATCAGCAGCATCAGCATCATCATTATCATCAGCAGCATCATCGTCATCACCATCACCACCAACACCATCACAACAACAACAGTCGCCATCGTCGCAGTCGTCGTCACCATCATCAGCATCACCATCATCTTCATCATCATCATCAGTATCAGCATCATCATCAGCATCATCATCATCATTATCATCGTCATCCTCATCATTATCAGCATCCTCACAATCACCACCATCATCCTCGTCATGAGCATCATCGTCATCATCATCAGCATCAGTACCACCACCATCAACAATAGCATTACCAGCACTACCATCATCGTCGTCATCATCAACAGTATCATCATCATCACCATCAGCATCATCATCATCATCGCAATCATCATCATGATCGGTGCCGCCAGCATCACGACATCATGATAACAACAGTCGTCATCGTCGTCATCGTCATCGTCATTATCATCATCCTCCTCATACTCATCATCATGAGCATCGTCATCATCAGCCTCATCGTCGTCACCACCATCATCATGATCATCATCGCCATCAGCATCAGCATCATCAGAATCATCATCATCGTCGTCGTCGTCGTCGCCGTCGCCGTCGCCGTCGCCATCGCCGTCGTCGACATAATCATCATCATCAGCATTAGCGTAACCATAATCATCATCAGCATCAGCATCATAAATATCATCATCAAAATCATCAGCATCATCGTCATCACCCTCATCATCAGCATCGCCACCCTCGCTCGCCTCCTCACCCTCGACCTCGTCATCGTTATCGCTGCCGTTATCACCAGCATTATCAGCAGCAGCATCATCATCGTCATCGCCCCCGTCATCCTCATAATCATCATCATCCTCACGACGGCTCCCCTTAGCCTGGGGACACGAGATGCCAGACGTGAAAGCTTACTGCGCCCCCTCGAACAGTCGCCACATAGAATGCTGGGCTGGTGCGGGGGCGGGACGTGCCGCAGACAGCTGGATCAGCAGCATTAGCATCATCATCATCATCATCATCATCATCATCATCATCATCATCATCATCATCATCATCGGCATCATACTCATCATCGTCATCGTCATCAGCATCGTCACAATCATCGTCAGCATCGTGTTCGTCGTCATCGTCATCATCGTCCTCAAGAGCAGCAGCAGCAGCAGCATCATCATCATCCTCAGTATCACCATCAGCGTCCGCATCATCATCAGAATCACAAGCGCCATCATCGTCACCATCACCCTCATCCTCCTCATCGTCCCCACCGTCGTGATCGTCATCGTTATCGTTATCTCAGCAGCATGCTCATCATCAGCAGCAGGAGCATCATCGCCATCATCAGCATCATCATCCTCATCATCAGCAGCAGCATCTTTATACTCATCATGGCCACCACCATCATCATTATCATCGTCATCATCATCATCCTCATCATCATCATCGACATCATCATCAGCATCATTATTATCATCATCATCATCATCATCCTCATCATCATCCTCATCATCATCATCATCTGCATCATGACGCTACCCATCATGGCCACCACCATCATCATCAGCATCATCATCATGACCATCATCATCCTCATCAGCATCATCATCATGACCATCACCACCACAATCATCACAATCATCCACATCATCATCGGTATCACCATCATCGTCATCATCATCATTACAAGCATCACTATCATCAGCATCAGCATCAATCTCATCATCAGCATCATCATCAGCATCGTCATCACCATCATCATCATGATCATAAACATCAGCATCATCATCGTCGTCGTCATCGGAATGACCATCATCAGCATCATCATCAGCATCATCAACAGCATCAGCATCATCATCATCATCATCAGCATCATCATAATGATCATCATCATCATCAGCATCATCACCATCATCTGCAGCGTCATCATCATCATCACCATCATCATCATCATCATCATCATCATCATCATCATCATCTACAGCATCATCGGCATCATCAGCAGCATCTTTATCAGCATCATCATCAGCATCATCATTCTACTCATCATGGCCACCGCCATCATCATTATCATCGTCATCATCATCATCATCCTCATCATCATCATCGACATCATCATCAGCATCATTATTATCATCATCATCATCATCATCATCCTCATCATCATCCTCATCATCATCATCATCTGCATCATGACGCTACCCATCATGGCCACCACCATCATCATCAGCATCATCATAATGATCATCATCATCATCAGCATCATCACCATCATCTGCAGCGTCATCATCATCATCACCATCATCAT